TCAAACACGAATCTTTATTGCGTAGAACAGTCCATAGGATAGAGAATTTTGTGAAATGATGTGGATTAGAATCGAAACGAGATCCTTTCAGACACTTAGCAGGTAAAGACCGTGATGTTGGTGCATCATGAGATAGGAGGGAGAAGGACTTATGTGATATGCAGTATTGTGTGTTTAATGTTGCTCCTATTTTCCTACTGGAATAGGTAAGTAGTAAGAAGATGATCAAAGATTTCACGGGAAAAAAAATTTAAGACCTAGAGCTACTTGTCGCTAAATGCACAATTCTCCATAATGTGTAGGCCTACATGCCTCGTCAGTGACCAAGAAAAAAATCACTCCATGATTTTTACTTTCTCGGATAGATTGCCTTTGTCACATTTACTAGTTCAGTTTTACCGTCGGCCGTTTTACATGATTAATTAAACCAGTCCTTCGTCTTTTAAGATTATCACTGACATTCTTACATTTGTTATATTTATACTATTTGTTTTTTAAAGGCAATAGCCCAGGGATGTCCAGGCTAACTGTGTCCCCTGGATTATCAGCCTGTGAAAGCATGATCGCCATGAAGGAAAATAACGCCATATACAACTTCTTACCATTAGTATCACCATTTAAAATCTGATAAGTAACATGAACTTTACGTACAAGTACATATTACCGGTTTTAGTAACCTAAGGTATGACTCTTAGTTGGCCCTCAAGATGGGTAACTCAAGGGAAAATTGACCCACGAAGGGTTTTGAGTTTGATATATATATATATATATAAACCAGACTTCTATTGACAATTTATTCTCCTTCCTCAGACGCTTAAATATCCTTCATTCGATCTAACCATCCACTGTCCTTAACCCTTCCCCTTTTCATCAACACCTATCCTACCCCATCTACCCTCTCCTTCTACTCCTGTAAATGCTATCATACAATAAATGACCGTCAAAACGTGACATTTTAACTAATAATGAACTTTAAAAACCCTCCCAACACAATACAAAACCATAGTGCTATATGACCTTTGATGTCTAGCATATTTATTTTCTTGTCATTATTATTTACTTACTTGATATCCCTGATGTAGAGAATTGCATCAATGCATGAGACATTTTTTTTTTTTTTTTTTTTTTTTTTTGCGATTAAAGCAGTCGATTTGCAAAAGCCTCTCATTCTATAATATTCTAAAGTTCTCCGGCCTTTCCACATTGGTTAGATTGGACCCTAGACTATTATTGAAAAGGAAATACGTATATTCTCTTGGCTATTAAGTGTTTCTACAAGGCATGGTATTGGTGCAAAACACTGAGATATAACAGTGCCAGGGAATTCGCCGAAGCTACGCCAAAAAGCCATTGCGTCTGAAGGAATGGGAATGGGAATCTGGGAATTAAATAATCAAATAGCCGTTTTTCCAATATACAGCGATCGAGTAATAGTGGTCGTGTGAATTACCTGAGATGAATACTTTTAAACATGAGCCATTTTCCCGGTCATTAAGCTTCATTTACCCGGGCACTGTTACATGGAAAGTGGCTTATAAGGAACTAAGAGGGTATTGGATAAAGTGGCTACAGATTCATCGACAGGAGATTTTGTGTTGGAGTAAGGGTGCAAGTGTTGGGAGTGAAAGACCCGAGTGATTGTGTGAGAGGACCAACTAGGTCTCCGCAGACTCCACCGAGTTAATTCATAATCCCCCTCCTCTCTCTCTTCCTTTTCTTCTTCCCCCTCTCTCTCTCTCTTCCTTTTCTTCTTCCCCCTCTCTCTCTTCCTGCTCCTCTCTTCCTTCTTTCTCCTCTCTCTCTTCCTTTTCTTCTTCCCCCTCTCTTCTCTTCATCTCTCTCTCTTCCTTTTCTTCTCCCCTCCTCTCTCTCTTTTCTTCTTTCCTCTCTCTCATCTTCCCCCTCTCTCTCTCTCTCCTTTTCTTCTTCCCCTCCTCTCTCTCTTCCTTTTCTTCTTCCCCCCTCCTCTCTCTCTTCCTTTTCTTCTTCTCCTCTCTCTCTCTTCTTTTCTTCTTCCCCTCCTCTCTCTCTTCCTCTCTTCCTCCTCTCTCTCTTCCCTTTTCTTCTTCCCCTCCTCTCTCTCTCTTCCTTTTCTTCTTCCCCTCTCTCTCTCTCTTCCTTTTCTTTCTCTTCCTTTTCTTCTTCCCCCTCCTCTCTCTCTTCCTTTTCTTCTTCCCCTCCTCTCTCTCTTCCTTTTCTTCTTCCCCCTCCTCTCTCTCTTCCTTTTCTTCTTCCTCTCTCTCTTCCTTTTCTTCTTCCCCCTCCTCTCTCTTCCTTTTCTTCTTCCCCCTCTCTCTCTCTTCTTCCTTTTCTTCTTCCCCCTCCTCTCTCTCTCCTTTTCTTCTTCCCCCTCCTCTCTCTCTCCTTTTCTTCTTCCCCCTCCTCTCTCTCTTCCTTTTCTTCTTCCCCTCCTCTCTCTCTTCCTTTTCTTCTTCCCCTCCTCTCGCTCCTCTCTCTCTTCCTTTCTCTTCCCCCTCCTCTCTCTCTTCCTTTTCTTCTTCCCCCTCCTCTCCTCTCCTTTTCTTCTTCCCCCTCCTCTCTCTCTTCCTTTTCTTCTTCCCCCTCCTCTCTCTCTCTCTCTCTTCCTCTTCCTCTCTCTCTCTCCCTCCCCCCAATCCTTCCTCCTGATCCTTACTCCTTACTATCCTCCCAAAGGGTTCCTATTACATAAGGGTAATGGGCAGATTTTTTTTCCGTACAGGACAATCCTATTCCAGAACTGCCTTTGGGCTCTCATAAATATGTTCATCAATTTTAGTTCAGACAGACTTTTAATTCACTTTTGTAATGAACTAATTAGCCATTACATAGTATTACTGATTACTCTATCCCCCATAAGGTCTCAATTTTTGGCACTAGAAGACAAAACAAAATTCTTGAACGCTTCAGCAACAAAAGTAGCATTATATAGTATTTACCTTCAGATTTAAGGGCATTGTCGTCACAGAATATGGGGTTAGCTAGTTTATATTGATTAGATACAAGCCTTCCCTGTCATAAGACATTTTCGCACTAATTGAATATCATGATGAAGTTAGAACTGCACTTTGAAAATGCTCAGTTTTCAACACACAGACAAAAGACGAAAACTGAGCAGACATACATTTCATTTTACTTAGATGGTGCTTAATTGTCGTCCATGTCCACTGTCCACTGTCTCCACTTCTTCCTTTATTGACGGGCTCTCTTGATCCATTTCCCGTGTAATACTTCTGAAACATCTTTCCCCAACCTCCATTATTTGTCCCTGTGGTGATTGTGATTAAGGTGATTCCTGGGCCAATTGCGGAGGTAATTTTTACATTCAGCCTCTACTTGCAGGCGATCCAGAGTCGAGATATGATATTTTAAAGGCTACTCCAATCCCGGTTCTTAGGGGAGGATTTTGTCTCCTACCTAAATTAAATCTTGAATTAAATTAAATTAAATTAAAAAGATTACATATTTGCTTCCGATTGACCGTACTAAAGATTTTCATAAGGAATTAGGTGTGTCTGACCTTGATATGCGCATGTAAAGCATGATCATTTACGTATGTGTACAGAGACTGCTCCTATTGTTTATAATGCTCTCCCACATCCTGTTCCTGTCCTCATTTCTCCCATAGTCAAACCTGTCCATCCTTCGTGACTCTTATTTTAATTTGCACATTTCCCCGTCGTTAGCTTCCATTCGCGCCATATCTGTCTCTCCCTCGGCCCATATCTGTGACATGTCCCGGAGCTCGAGTCCTGCTTCGCGAGGAGTGACACCCTTCTTATACTTGCCCCGAGCGCCACCCAGGGAGCTGTAGTTCCCTGTGGTGCAGCGCTGGGCTAGTCTAGTCTGTTCCCCACGCTGTTGCATCTTTCTTGGCCAATGTCCTATCCACACAAGCACCAGAGCTCCGCGTGGCCCTTCAGTGAGCTCTTTCGAGGACGACCTTCCTAGGCCAACCTCCTAGCTACTGCAGTCGTGGGGGAGGGCCTAGTGTCCGTTGATTATTACTTCTAATTTGCTTGATACTTGATTCGTGTATTCATTTGGAAATACAATTTAATTTGTGTTTATTATGATAGACTAACTGGTTTTATTATGATAACTATTTTTGAAACATATCTATTTCATATTTAATTTTAATCATTTGATTTGGTTGTGAGCATTGTTCCTTTTGTGTTACGTCTAAGTCATTCATTTTGAGATATTGAATAATGACTTGTATTGAATGATGTGTTATAATGACTTGTTTTGTTTGATAATATTCGATTCAGTAAGATATAACGTTGTTTTGAATGTTAATTTTGTTTTCATTAAGTTTCATAACTGAGGATTATGTAACAGTGAGTCATAACTGTAAATGTTGCACGTAGTGTCTAGAACAAATAATGTCTTGTATATTTTTGTTTCATGCAATCTTTTATATTGCATTTATATTACATTACATTGATAATCATAAGTTCATAAATTTACCGATTTTCGTAGATATTTAAACTGCAATAATTACGAGGGACGCCCATTACAGATTTCCCCGAACCCACTTCCACGTATCCGAAAAGGCTGAAATTTTGCATGCGGAATAATATACATTCCTGTAGGTTTTCTGTTGATTTCCATCTCTTAACTCATAACATATTTTCTGTTACAGCAGTGAACGTGCAATTGGGTGTGAAAATGGAACGTGGGTTATCAAGCAGTGATCAGGTTTTTATTCTTGAATGGCCGCACATCCCATGAGACCTTCAGTGAAATAAGAATAACTTTTGGGAAGGCTCCTCGATCATGACGTTAAACATTGGCATCACCAGTCCAGATGTGGTCGGAGATCTGTGGAAACGGCTCCTGTCCCAGTCTACCGGCGATAAGGACACCATTCCTCATGTGGAGACTGACATTACTGAGAATCGCCATATTACCGTTTGTCTGCTACCACAAGATGCCAAGATAAGTGTTGGGTCTGCGCACAAAGTCATTCATGACCATTTACATCTTCAGATGGGATGAGTGAGATCCCAGGCTACCCC